TTGAGCTCTGCATTCTAGAATTCTTTCTTGTTCATGTTCCCACCGATTAGGGTATCCTGCTCAACAGGAATCTTTCGGGTCAAAACATATGATTAAGTCAAAGTTAGAAAATTTTCGTGATAAATTTGAGATTCATAGGGCAACTATTATTTCAAGAACTGTAAAGAACGACAATTATTTTTGAAAGCAAAATCTTCTTTTAAGGCTCTAAATTTACCTTAAATTAATACATGAGTCTCTAAATTAGAATTAATGCAAATAAACCCTCAAATCCCTCAAATGACACAAATTAATCCATAAATCCCTCAAAAAAATACAAATTAGCCTTCATTATTAACCCAACACATGTGACCCTATATCATCTATTCTTTTCCTTCACTACTTAATCCAACTTTTTCACATTGATATATATATATTTTTTTGATACATCTGAATGGGTTATATAAAAGTTGATAGTCCTCCCTTTTCCCTAAATCCCTGCTTGCCTGACCCAAGATTCAAACTAGAAATCTCCAATTTAAAATATCAAGTTCTTAACCATTGAATTACCCCATTAAGGTTCTTTCACATGGATATTAATGTGAATCAAAAGGACACTTTGGGCAATCAAAATCCTACTAAACTAATAGGTCCTTTGATCCATTTATCAACATCCATGTAGAAAAATAGAGCCAAGTGAAGGAAAAAAACAGACAAGGTGAGGTTACATACGTTGGATCATTAATGATGGGGGTTGATTTGTATCTTTGAGAAGTTTGAGAGTTAATTTACATCATTTAAGAGATTTGAGGGTTTATTTGCACCATTTTTAGCTCAATGACTCATGTGTTAATATGGGATAAGTTTGGGGGCTTTAAGAGGGGGGTTTTGCCATTTTAACACGTGTTAAGTACTGATTATTAGATGACAGGGGTGGGCAGACATAGAGCAGAAAGTTGGTTGAGGCTTATCTTAATTTTACTAAGAAAAATTAAAGTTTGAAGGCCTATATAACATTCATGATTCAGGCGTGGCTGGATAATAGAAGTTTGGAGGCTTTTTGTACAATAATCTAGATAAGAACTCCATGCATCATGTCCCACAATTAATGGTTGTGGCACACACCGAAGGGTGTCTCTATACGAGAGTTGGAGTTATTGGTTACAGATTTCTGGATTTTAGCAATGATGGTACTCGCGCAAAGTACACATAAGAAAGAGGATTACACCTCAGCAATGGAAAAGGAGATACTAAATCCAAAGATTCACTTAAGTGTTATTGCTTTATAAGGTATAAGTTAAATTAAAAGTTTAAATTTTGATAGGAGAAAATTAATTTTTTTAAAAGATGTATTTTTAAAATCATTTAAAAGTAACAATTTTAAATTATAGTATTTTATAATTATAATATTATATAAGATTGTAATGTTACAATTAACAAAAAAATACTAAAACTAACACAAAGGATAGATTAAGATATAAAACTTCTAAAGTTTTTAATAAAAAAATAATTAATGCATCACTTATTAAACTATATAATTTTAAATTTTTACATCTTAAATTTAAATTTAAAAATATTAATTTTTTTAACAAATATGTTTTGAACTATATTAAACTGAAAAAGCAATGCTAAAGGTCTCATTATATTTAAGTGATATCAAATTAGTAGTGAATGTACTGAAATCATTTCAGTTGTAATATCAGAATCATTGTACTCCAACACGACATTTTCCACTATGTCCTTTCAAAATTCAAACACTCATATCATCTGGCCACTTTTGGCCTGTCGACATATATAATTAATCTCTGCTTAAGATTACATAACGCACGTCTCCATGATTCAACCCATCGCTTCATTACTTTATATTGAACAAATTAACAGATTTAGGACTCCAATTTGTTCCGGAAAAGGAGGAAGCAGGAACGTAATTTAAGGAATACTTAATGGTTAAAATCTTAAATCTTTATAGAAATATTATAATTACAATATTATATATAAAAAATAATACTTATCTATCTTGTCTTTCAAGTATTATGAGAAAAATTATTTTAAAATTATATCGTTTAAATAAATTTTCATTAAAAATGATTAAAATATTATATTTTTAAATCAATAAACTCTCATTAAAAAAGATTAAAATATTATATTTTTAAATCATAAATTAAAGTGTTTTTTCATTTTTATAGTATTTTATTGAAATGACGTAATTTTTAGATAATTTTCCTTTTAATCTTTGAAAGGTAAGACTGATAAATATTAACCCTTTATATATAATTATAAGTTTATAAATATTATATGATATTAAATAAATTTATTTTAGTATTAAATGATTATATATAATATTATAAGTAAATTTTTAAATAAAAAATTAATTATACGACAATAAATTGTGTAATAAATTTATATTTAAAAATGACATTACAACTATAATATTTTCATAATCTTTATAATATGGCTT